GTGTGAGTCTACAGGTGCTGGAAGGCATCCCAAGTAGAAAAGATGTTATCCTGCAGGTAGAATGGAGGGAGGCATGACGAGGCTTGAAAATGTGGGCGGCGATAGAATCGGGTTTAGTTTATAGTGGCGTTTCTTAAAACTTGTTTCGGGGAGGACTGTTCCTCTGGGTATCAGTGCTGATGGCCACGAAACCATCCATCTTCCTGTTGGGATTGATTGTGCTGCTATTGAGTTAATTAGGTTACTTTCCTCTAAACTTCTCAGAGCTTTTAATACACTGGATTGGCCACACGAAGCCTATTTCCGTCTGTTTTTTTTAACTTGGGTTTGATTGTATAATGAGCATGTGTGAAGCCTGCGGAGGCTAGGACTGTGCCTGTATTCTGTACCCCATTCTCCCACCCCCCTGCCTCTGCTCTCAACACCTTCCAATTCTCTATCTGTTAAGTTTATGAAAGAATACCATGCCTCTGAGAATGACCTTTTTCACTTAATAAGCGCATTGCTAAGCTTCTTCCGTATTGTGTGTTGGTGTGTATGCCTTGTTTTGAATATTGCACAATATTCCCCTGTACGAATTGTATACCACAACTTATTAATCTTCCTTTTTAATGATGGACAGCATGAGCTCCTTCCAGTTTTTTTGTGATTGTGAACCGTGCTGCGTGGACATTCTAGAATATTCTAACACATACCTCCAGTTTTACATATACAAGAGCTTCTTAGGGGTTCATTCAGAGAAATGTTAATTGCTGATCAGTTGCGTAGAGTATGTGACCCTTCTATCTCAGGCGGTGATGCCAAACTTTTCCAAAGTGGTTGTAAACTTAAAAAAAAATTTTTTTAACGTTTTTTTATTATTGAGAAACAGAGAGACAGAGTGTGAGCAGGGGAGGGGCAGAGAGAAGGGGAGACACAGAATCGGAAGCAGGCTCCAGGCTCTGAGCCATCAGCACAGAGCCCGACGCAGGGCTTGAGCTCATAAACCGCGAGCGAGATCATGACCTGAGCTGGAGATGGACGCTCAGCCGACTGAGCCACGCAGGCGCCCCCGAAGTGGTTATAATCTTGCACCTCTTTAGTGCTTTCGTATATTTCTTAAAAATAATTAGCTCAAGGGGTACCTGGGTGGCTCAGTTGGTTAAGCGTCCGACTCCAGCTCAGGTATGATTGCTTGGTTCGTGAGTTCAAGCTCCGTGTCGGGCTCTGTGGTGACAGCTCAGAGCCTGGAGCCTGCTTCAGATTCTGTCTCCCTCTTTCTCTGCCCCTCCCCCGGTCGTGTTCTCTCTCTCCCTCTCTCTCTTAAATATAAATGAACATTAACAAAAATAAAATAACTAGCCCAAGAAAATGTTTATGCCAAAGAGCATATTTTGGTGGCATATTCCCTTCTAGTCTAAGAATCCATATGTTGCACATGACCACGTGTTACGCACGTCTGCTAAACTGGGGGTGTACGATGCTTTTATAGGTGTGCCAGCACGCAGCAAAAGTTTTCGCCCCGACGCGCATTCTCTCTCCTCCTAAGTGACCTCAGTCTATTTCTTGTTGTCCCTCCTCCTGGTTCACTTGGAGGTCATGCGGATCAGCAAATACCCTCCTTTCTGCCCTGCTCTATGGATGACACCTGGGTTTGCAACCGGCCTCTCTGCCTGCTGGCCTCTTCAGAGCCGTGGGTAGATTGTGGTTCATCACCTTGCAGCTTCCAGGCATGGAGTCTGGTTCAGTTCAGTCTTTCTGGCTCTCTTTCCCTCCTAGGCAACTTTTTCTGTCTGTCATCTTGTAGGATTTCTTTGTCTTTAGAGTGCTTGATATTTTCATCATTTTGGCATCGGACCTGTGGATTCCAGTTTAGGGGGCTCTCATTAACAACTGGAAGCCCCTTTGGGGTGGTGTTAGGACGACGTGTTTGTTCAAGCATGCCCCCGGGTCACTCTGATGCACAGTAAATTTTGCGGATAACATGGAGAGAGAAACAGTATGCTGTCTAGGAACTGCCCCAGGAGTCAGAATTAAGCACTAATTTTCACTTCCTAGAGTCTGGTAATGACAGATTTCACATGGTTCTAATAGCACTTTAAAATATGGCCAAGAATTTGAAGACACACAAAAAGCCATAGGAACAAGCGTTTGACTCTTACGACAACAGGGACAATTTAAAGCCAGTGTTGTTTTGTTTTTAACTGTGACCTCTAGACCTAAGCACAAATCTAGTAGAAAGTAAACTGTAAATAACTTTTAAACTTGCCCTTAGTAATTATTCCAAGCAAACCACTTTATAGATCAATATGTTTTTCACACAAAAAAGTATTTTAAGCTTTCATATTTGTTCTCGGATTAATAGGTCAAAAGAGAGCAATCCAGAGTGTTTCCACAGATGCTACAAATAATGTTTTCTTTTTATGGGCACCATTTCAGTGGAAAATATGTCTCTTTGCTTGTAAAAGTGTTTTCTCATTTGTCAGAAACTTGAAGGCTGTTTATAGGGAGGTCACAGTGCCTACTTAGGAGACATTTCTGTGCCATAAATTTCAGCATGCTTCATTATTGCGCATTTCTGTCCAGAGCTGTCGCACATCCTGTGAGGCTGGTTGTAAACCACCTGAATACTTTTCACGCCTCCGTTGTATTGTATGCAGTGGGGAAGATGGCGTTTTCCTAGAAGGAATTATTCTGTGTTGGACGCCGTAGCAGTGTCTGTATCCCAAGCTTCTGCACAGCGACGGCCCTGAACACCAAGTTGTCCTCAGCAGAAACACAAAACTAACTCGGTGTAATGAGTTGGTCTTTCTTTTCCAACCGCCGTTCTGAGCCTGTGCCCTTTCTCTCATGGGTTGTTTTCTTCCATGGTGAGGGGCGCACAGTTCAAAGCCAGTGATGTCTTCGGGGCAGGACCAGGAGAGGAGGAGGCGGCAGAGGGTTCTTAGGAGAAGGAACCCAGAGCTCAAATGCTGCAGATGAATCGCGACCAAGTAACAGGGAAACGGGGAAGCTGCAAGGTCAGGGCTGATCTGCGGGATCTGAAGGCCATGTAATGGGGCGGGGCTGTGCGGGGCGGGGCGCAGCCAGGTGGATTAGGGCGGGGCGGAGGGTCGAGTTGGATCCAGGTGGGATAGGGCGGGGCTGGGAGGTCGGGGCGGGTCCAGATTGACTTCTGCTTGGGTCATGATCTGGCAGTTGGCGGGTTCGAGCCCCAAACTCCGCTCTGTGCTGTTAACACAGATCCTGCTTCAGATCCTCTGCCCCCACTCTCTCTCCACCTCTCTTGCTTTCTTGCTCTCTCTGTGTGTCAAAAATAAACAGTAAAAACAAACAAAAAACAAAACAAAACAAAAAAACTATTGAAAAAGAGAAGCTACTGTTTTAAGTTCTTTAAAATAAATCTTTGTGTGCCTTTGTTAATTTACGAGCTCCTTTCCAAAGAGATTTGAGGTCACTTTCAGATAAGTAATCTATCGTACTAATAATACACCATTTTTCTTTATCTTGGGAATAAATGTTCCCAATCATGTCCATTCAAAAGCATTTTGTAAACGACACGGTGTTAAGTTCTAGAAAGTAATACATTTTCGTTTGTAAACACAGTCATTCAGGGTTTTAATTAACTTAAATAAGGCCATTCCCTATCAGCCCATTTCAGACAGCTTTAAATGATCATTTCCTGTATGCTTTCTCAAGTCAAGGTGTCTCTTACAATTGATGTATAGAATTTAATATAGAGTTTGTTTCCACTCCTCTGTCAAGCTCGAGGAATAGTGTGTCTTATCACTGACGGTGTCTTCAGTAAGTAAATTCGGTATTGGTGGCCTTGGTTCTCACCAACGCTGAACTATTTTTTAAAATTTTTCTTTTCTTTCTTTTCTTTTATCTTATCTACCTGTAGCAGGGTTCTCGCACAGAGTCATGACACAGAGGCTTTTCTTTCCAGGAAGCAACTTTATTCGTGCCGGCATGGCTCAGTTGGGTTCGTACCCAAAGAACTGAGCCTTGAACGCCACATGGCGTATATTTTTTACTTGTCTCCCGTATATGGTAACACACAAACATGCAGTCTGATGAAGTGGTCTCATGTTACAAAGTCACGAGAGATGTTGTCATGTACGCACATGGCCAGGTTACCTTCATGTTTTCTTTAACCTAGGGAGGGTACCCTACCACATTATCTAGCTGTCATTTATTTATCTATCATCTATTAACGCTGCTTGAACTATTACCAAGCTTCTGAAGCTTGTGCCTGTTAAATAAATACTATCATTCAATGTACACTTAAAGCACACACAGGATTCTATGCTGAGGACTTCTCACCAAGAAAGTGTTGTTCCATGTAGCTCACATAAAGAAACAAAAAACACGAAAGTACAAAGTTTCGTTGCAGGGCTATCTCATAGAACAAATATTCAGAACAAACCAGAGCTGCAACATTAAGAGAATTTTTTTCATAGATTTTAACATATTAATAGGATGAAATATCATGTAACCTTTAAAATTCATTTTTAGAAACCATGCAAAAATGCCAAAGATGGTAATATTATAATATTAAATAAGAAAATGAGAAACATAATACACTGTGAATGCAAATATATAAAAATGCATAATCTGTGTGGGCAATACTTTGTTTTTGAGAAAATCCTTAATCTTCTTTTTTTTTTTTTAATATTTTATCTTTGGGTGAGTGCAAGTGTGGGAGGGGCAAGGAGGATCCGAAGTGGGCTCTGTGCTGACAGGGTGACAGCAGTGAGCCCAACGTGGGGCTCGAACTCAGGAACTGTGAGCTCATGACCTGAACCGAAGTTGGATGCTCAACCGACTGAGCCACCCAGGCACCTCAAAAAAAATCCTTAGTCTTATTGCTGATTTGGCTTTACCATACAAACTCTACAGCTGAGATCACTGCTCTAAGAACTGTTTGCCTGGATCAGCTCAACCAGGGTGGCTGTCCTGTGATCTGAGCCGGGAATACTAACAAAGCCACCCTGTTTCTTTTGTGTTCTGGTGAGCAGCAGTGGGACCGAGGACCAGGAGCTCATCCACGTGCTTTTGAGGGCGTTTGCAGATGAGGATCCGCTCTGTGATGGTTTAAACCCCAATTTACACCCAGACCTGTAAGTATCTGACGGCTTTGTGAGGGTGCAAGCTGCCAACCCAGAGCACCGTCTCCTGTGCAACTCGGAGCTCTGATGGAGGGTTTCCATCTTGTGAAGTGAACATTAACCAAACCAGTAGGTTAGTACCGGACAGGCCTCGTGGGTATGCTTTCTATTGTAGCAGAAACAATTAATAATTAATAGCATTCAATTTGTGTGACAAAACCCAAAGGTAAAAAGCATAAAAGAGCAAGAAAATATGAAATATGTATTGAACTGTTACTTTTAGGGCAAACTTGTACATACATGAAAAGATTATATGTTTTAAAAAAATTTTTAACATCTATTTTTGGAAAGAGAGAGAGAGAGAGAGACAGACAGACAGACACGGAGCACAAGTGGGGAGGGGCAGAAAGAGAGGGAGACACAGAATCGGAAGCAGGCTCCAGGCTCTGAGTTATCAGCACAGAGCCCGATGTGGGTCTTGAACCCATGAACCGTGAAATCATGACCTGAGCCAAAGTTGGATGCCAACCGACTGAGCCACCCAGATTCCCTTAGATGGTATTTTTTTTTAACTAAAGAAACTTAATGGGGTGCCTGCGTGGCTCAGTTGGTTAAGCCTCAGGTCATGATCTCAGGGTTTGTGAGTTTGAGCCCCCAGGAGGGCTGATTGTCTCTCTGCCTGTCCCCACTCGTGTGTGCACGCATGCTCTCTCTTTCTCTCTCAAATAAATACACTTTGACAAAAAACAAAAGAGAAACTTTTAAAAGTTTCCTTAGTTTGGGGGTGAATTACTTTGAACATTGTTTTCTTCTAAGATTTGAAAATGATAATATTGAGATGACTTTTTAATGGAAACTTGTTAAAGCATGCCTTTCTCCGTACGCAATTTTCTAATTTTGCTTGACTGTTATTAATTGAGGGTGTATTATAAATACACTGCAGTCCTAAGAATCGAGATAGCTACAGGATCTGGCCCTCCTCCAGGAATTTGCAGTTCTGGGTAGAGCACGTGGGCAAAGTGATAAAACCATAATGATGTATTAAGGACCAAAGCGTCTGTTTTTAAGTAATAAATATAAAAATCCAGACAGTAAAGCAATATCGGCAATACGTTTTTCTAATTTGTGATGACACATCTGGCTCATTAGTCATGTTGGCAATTAGTTCGAGAGGGAAGTAGTGGGTTCAGAGGTGTCTTCTGCGGAAAAACAAAGACTTTTCGTTGTGGGTAGGAGCTTCTAGGGCGATCCTGAAGCAGGCGGGATGTAAAATGCACACTTTGAGCAACTGACATCTAGCCGGGGGCCCTCCTGGAGCCTCCTGGAGTGCTGGCCCCACCTGTCATAGAGACAGAGCAGATAAAAGGACATTTCTTTATCAAATCTCTCAAGAGGGGGGAGAAAAGTAGGATCTGTGCTGAGGACAGTGGAGCATATTCAGAATTCTGTTTAGACACAGATTTCCCTTGTAGTTCCTTTCAGGCCACCCCCGATGGCTCCCCGTAACCCCCCCTCCCCTAGCCCGAAGCCCCATCCTCAGCCCTGCCCGCAGCCCACCCTCATTGGTTTTCTCCTCAGCCTTTCTTTTCCTTCCAGAATCTGAGGTTTGGTGTTCTCCCTTCTCTTTGTGAAATCCCCCTGGTCTGTTCTTAACCCATTCATTCCTGTTTTGTAACGCTCCTGCCCTTTTTTTTCTTGGTCACCATGACAAAAGGCGGGGGTGGGGGGCTGCCTCATACAAGAGTGCTGTTATTTTGGGGGCTGAAGGCTTTTCCTTTCTTCCCTTCCCGGTTCCTTGGCTAGTCTAATAATTAAATCGACATAAGACAGATTAACAGGAGAAAAAAAA